TGCATCACCATTACTGATGTTCCACTGCTCTGAATTCTGGGTGGAGGGTGATTTTGTGAAAATAAGCATAAGCATTGAAACAGCACTGTTTCAATCATGGAGTCCTACAAGTTCCTGGGCTTCACAGTCTCTCAGGACTTGAAGTGGACAACCAACATCAGTACCATCATCAAAAAGGCACAGCAAGGATGTACCTCAGCTCATGAAGTACATCCTGCCCTAGAAGCTGCTGATACAGTTCTGCAGAGGAATCATTGAGTCTGTTCTCTGCTCATCCATCACTGTCTGGTTTGGCTCAGCAACCAAACAGGACAAGTACAGACTCCAGTGGACAGTGAGGACTGCAGAAAGAATCATCGGTGCCATCCTGCTCTCCATGGAGGACCTGTACACCTCACGGGTCAAAAGGAGGGCGGAGAGGATCACTGCAGACCCCTCACACTGTGGACACAATCTGTTTGAACTCCTCCCCTCTGGATGGCGCTGCAGGTCACTGTACACCAGAACAACCAGACACAGAGACAGTTTCTTTCCCCAGGCTGTCACACTGATGAACAGTTAGCCTATGTTTAAGGGTTTGTAGGATGTTGTACACATCACTGTGCAACAACATACAGATGTACATTAGCTACAGTAGCTCTTTTAACTTGCATATATATGTGTGTACATTTTTGTCTTTGTTTTTTACTTGTGGTTTTGGTTTTATTCAGTATTTTTATTGTTATGCTCATCGGGGGCCATTGGGCTGGAGTCAAATTCCATTGTATTTTGATAATACTTGGCAATAAAGGTCATGTTTATGCTTATTCTCCACAAATTCGCAAAAGACTATGCATGCTCCCACTTTTTCTTTATGGATGGATTTTTTTTACAGATGTCGTTCTTTACACGATATGTAAGCACTCAAACATGTTCATGTTTGTCTGCTTTTATAATTTGTAAATACTGGAACATTTTATTGAACACAGTTGTGCTTCTTTAAATAAAATTTCACTGCTGAGCTACAGTGATGGCCAATGGGCTGTAACTTGAGAAGCAGCTGTTTGTGAGTCACACTGAGTGTGTGTTAGTGCTGCAGAGGAAAAAGGGAGGAAGGCCTCCCATATTAATGACAACCACACTTACAGTATGTAAAGCTCTACACTGTATTTATAGTCATCTGGGCTTAAGAAGGCCACAGTCGGAAAGTCCACAAGCCAACAGTCATGACACATAAACACAGACAAACAAGCACATACAGTATACACATGTGTAAAATATACAGTGACAAAAGGCACTGTATGACAAACAAATATATATAGTTTATCTTTAAACCTATACCTTGGTAAATGGTCTTATACTTGTATAGCACCTTTCTATGCTTTTTACAGCACACTCAAAGCGCTTTCACATTATTCGGCCATTCACCCATTCGCACTCCCAAGCACTCACGCATTCACACACCGGTGACATCACCGGGAGCAACTGGGGGTTCAGTGTCTTGCTCAAGGACACCTCGACATGTTGACTGGACAAGCCGGGAATCGAACCTTCATCCCAGCTGCATAAATACTGGTTCCCACTGTAATTTGAGTATGTATGTTCACTTTTAAAATAAGAAAACGAAATGCTGTAGACATAATATGGCAACATACAGAGTAAAATCATCCATTTTTGAGCATAGTGTTGGAAAAATGTTTCCTTGAACACTCTGGTATGAAAGAGTTTTAAGCCCACAGTTTTCAAATGTTTGGGATAAAAGTTAAAATATACTTTCTTTTTTGCAAAAGTAGTACTTGTTGCTTTCTTCATTTCCTCCTGACAATAACCCTAATATGTTGTTGTACGTGTTTTGCTGTTATTTGGTTTTTCATTTGAAAATGAAAATTATGACACTACAGAGGACACACTGTAGAAATAAATGTGTAGAACTCCACTGTTAAGAATGAAGGAAAGTGTAAGAACTTTTAAAACTGCCTTCATCCCCTCCCTGTTCTCCATCATGTATCCTGCCATTTTTTCCTCCGCTATTCTTTCTTTCTCTGAAATAACTGTTCCTCTAAGGTGTGGAACCAGTGTTACAGTAATTCTGTTTATTTTGTAGAGCTAAACCTTTGACTTTATGTATTTTCATGTTCTATACAACATATTCAGACACAAGTACTGTTTGGGTCTTGTTCATGAGTGAGGGTAAAATTGAGTGTGAGCACAGCATCAGCAGTAATGTGGATGTTGTATCAGACCGGTGTGGTGAAGAAGGAGCTGAGCTGAAAGGCAAAGCTTTCAATTTACCAGTCAGCCTAAACTCCAACCCTCACCTATGGTCATGAACTGTGGGTAGTGACCAAAAGAATAAGATCGTGAATACAAGCAGCCAAAATGAGTCTCCTTCACAGTGTGGCTGGACTTGGAGTAGAACCGCTGCTCCTTCACATCAAAAGGAGCCAGTTGAGGTGGTTTGGGCATCTTATCAGGATGCCTCCAAGGCACCTCCCTTTGGAGGTCTTCCGGGTGGGTCCAACTGATAGGAATAGACTGAGAACACAATGGAGAAATTACATATCTCATCCAGCTTGGGAACACCTCGGAATTCCAGAAGAGCTGGAAAATGTTGCAGAGAAGGGAGACCTCTGGAATACCTTGCTGAACCTGTTCCTACCACAACCCGCCCCCAGATGAGTGGAAGAAAATGAATGGATAGATGGATGTACTGTAAGTCAGAGATGACAGGAAATAGTGCTGTATGGTATAGAAGTAATGGCCTCAATACCAAAATGGGTCCTCACTGTTGTCCCACAGATGCAATTTAGGCTAACAATTTGGGCCATTCGTTGTGACATATGGCCCGTTACTGTAAACAGGGTTGCTGGATCATGATTAATGTGTAACCTGTCTGCTTTTCTAAGGTGAACAATGGATTATGCCCTTAGCCATTTCTTAACTTTGTGCGGTTACTGACAAAAGAGCTTCTTCATTTGTGTTTACGTATGAAAATAAAAATCCTAAAATCAGTCAAAGAATACAGGTGCACTATGTTTAATGGCAGATCATAAGTTTTAGTTGAATACTGGATATACTTCACTGTGCACAACAAAATGCATTTACATGCTCCCTGTAATTATGGATTTTTAAGTTCTTCAGAAACGTAAAGACTGATATTAAAATGTTTTTCGTATGTGTCACTTATGTCTGTGTTCTTGTTTTTGTGTTTGTTTATTTGTTTTCATGTGTCTGGGCTTGTTCACACAGCTGTAAAGATTCACTTTATGAGTAAAACCTCCACAATCTCTAAATTTCCTCCAAAATTCAACCTCTGTAATCACTGACACCCAAATTCCCAGTCAACAAAGAAACTTTCATTTTTGTCATATTCCACCATTCAATCATTCAATTATGTCCAATATAAAGGAGAATTTCCAGTTGTGTGTTTATACTGTAGGTATATGGCAAAGCCATCATGCACCTCCTAAAAACTGTATCTACACATCTGGACAAATACAGCGCTACTGCAATAACTCTGTTGGTCACTGTTTGGCCGATTGAGTTTTCTCATACCCCTACCTCAGACATGGTTTCCTTTTTTAGGAAAACCATCTCTACTGCCAACCTACTGCTCACTCCTGTCTCTACTGTGAGTGGAAGAAAAGACTTTTTACAAAGCAGCAGTGTCCTACTAAATAATTAGAAATGACTAACTTTCCCATCATTGACAAACTTAATTAAAGAAAGTATTCAGAATCATGTTGGGCATATGATTGATGTATAATACAGTACTGTCATGCATAATACTTCCATAGTAAACTGAAAATATTAGTGAAATAAAATATGTGACTTCAAATAAAAACCTTAAGCCTGCATTCGCTGATGTTTTGACCACCTGGGGGCAACAGAAACATGCTGTATACTTCATACATTATGATGTCAAACTAGGCCAGCAGCTTTTTATACATACAGAATGGAGCACCATTAGCATTCATTTATAAATATACAGTATATATAAAACCAAGTTTACCTTTAGCTCTGTCTCTCCTCTGTTTCCATTGACTCCTGAGGGAAATATTTGTGTGATCTGCGATGGCAGATTAGCGTTGGAACCAACAACAGCAGCCAAACTAGGCCAGCAGCTTTTTATACATACAGAATGGAGCACCATTAGCATTCATTTATAAATATACAGTATATATAAAACCAAGTTTACCTTTAGCTCTGTCTCTCCTCTGTTTCCATTGACTCCTGAGGGAAATATTTGTGTTTAGCTGCTAAATGCTTTGCTGTGTTCATCAGCTACAACCCCAAATCAGTTGGGATGTATGTAAAATCTAAATTACAACTGAAAAAGTGATTTGTAAATCATCTGTGTCCTATCTTACATCAAAAACAATACAGCAGCACATTATTTGATGTGACACCTCATCAACTTTATTCTTTGTTCAAAATAAACACTCACTTCAATGCTGACACCTGCAACACATTCTAACCAAAGTTGGGACGGTTGCATTTCAGGACCAGCAATCTTGGTGAAATCTTGATTCCATGTGAAAAAGGTGATGTCAACAGGTGACTGCATCATGGTTTGGTACAAAAGTGGCATCCAGGAAAGGCCTCACCCTTTAGGAGCAAAGATGGGCAGAGGACCGTTAGTTTGCCAACATACAGTGGGTACATTTGCTCTTTGACTTTGGCTGTTATATAAAGATTTGCAGCTTGGTACTGTACATGTTTTTATATATACACTGCTCTTCCATTGTGGGTGTGGGTGTGTCTGTTGTGGTGTTGCCTAAGTAGCTGTGTGTTGTCCAGTCATGCATGAGTCACCAACAACAGGACCTAATGTGCTTTACTTAACTTTTCTCTTGCATCAAGCTCAAATAACCAAGTATAAAAAAATGAATTGGTAAAATAATGCTTTTAAATTAATATCTACACAGAGGAAAGCTTATTTTTATACAAGTATCTATACACTATTGTGTGAGATTTGTGTGGTCTTGTGTATAATAGATGTTTGCTTGTCTTGTTCACAGGTATTGAGGGGCTTAGCCTATCTACGTGAGAAGCACCAGATCATGCACAGAGGTAAGGGTGTTCTCTAATTACAATAAATCACTTTGCTCTCAAAATATATTGTGCCACATTTTCAAAATCGAGCAATACAACAGCTGCTGGTTATGCAGCTGCCAGAAGCGTCATGACAGTGATTGACTAACAGACTGACTTTGTTAAGCTGACGAGTATCAGGCTGTATGTGGACATTAAGGGGAGAGTTGTGTTGTGGTATCACTATGAATAATTTGTACATCACAGAATTTTTTCTCAAGTATTTTGTTTAATGCGGTGTTTATCACACAGTTGCTCTTTAGTTTATTCATTGGGGTAATACCTGTTAAGTGCTTTCATGAAGATTGAAGAGTAAGAACAAATAACAAATCCCAAGGGGCTTTCATCTTCAGATGATCCATGACTTCGATGAGGAAAAGTTTTGACAGATATGCTCTATATTTGATTTCATAACATGCTGAGAGTTGTACTTGAACTATAGTCTCATGACTAGTGTAGAAAACAGGTTGATCTAATGCAAGAAAATTGGTTTGACATATGACACATTTGTTACTTTGAGCAGTTCAGTTCTCAAGCTACGGCTATTTACAGGTAAGAACAAAATAATGATAATGGGTGCACTGTAGTTACTGACCTTACTGCAACAGTTAACCAGTGTTTAACTACAACATGTCATGTTTCTTACAGCTACTTCTTGACATACTTTATTTGACAATTTCTTGGCCACGGTGTCGGTAAAGAAAGTCTGAAATACATCTGATGTGTTTTGGTCTGGAAATGGATATAAAATGCATAGGAATGCAGTATGGGTATCCCATTAGTGCAACTCGATCAGATTACTGGAAAGTTGATATTATTTACCAATAATACAATCTAGATTTTTTTTTTTTTTTATGGATTGGTGTTATGCTTTCCATTTCTTTAGTTTTACTAGGGGCTGAAATTTACAGATGATGGTGAGGCAGAGATTAAAAAAACAAATGTTTACAGTCTGAACTGTCAGATAACAAAAATGGAGAATTATCCTTTAATTTTCCACTGTTATTATCCTTGCTGCTATTTCCTAATGTCTATGGACTTTTATGTTGGTAAATGCACCACATTAACTCAACATATTTCAGTTGTCCCTGTAGTGTTTCATTTAGGTTTTATGAATTTTCTTCATTCTTTTTCCTCCATGTGCACTGCATCAACTTCTAAAAAGACTTGGCACGCTCACCACTAGGCAGGCTTTATATGGAAGTATCATGAGTTTTTGATCACTAAAAATTTCTAGCATGAAGCAGAAAAAGACTTGGTAAAAGGCATTTTCTTAGCAGTCTAAGGTAGGCATGTTTTCCACAGCACACCAGTGAGGAACCACAGTTGTGCTGTTGAAGGACCTGCACACTGCAGCACAGTGAGTCCTTGCAGTGCTCTGGGGTTGGTGGTACTCTAGGACAGAGATGTCTGTGAGCACCAGTGGCAATTACAGCCTCTCAGATGTGATTATACAGCAGCCGCACCCAGTTGACCCCTCCTTCCGTGTCTCCCTCCATCGTCCTCCTGCTGTTTCATGCCACCTCTTTTGCAGTCCCTCCCCACATCCTTGGTCTGTGGGAGGGGGTCTCACACACCAACGAGGACAGATTGCAGGGATCAGTCTTACCCCATTATTTTGCAGGTTGCTTTTAAGTGATGAGCGGGAAATGTGGAGGACCAGCTTGTTTATAACAGGAGCTCAGCAAGAGATGTTGCTATTTTCTCCCTTGCTCGATGAAAACAGCATCACAGACATATATGGGGGCTGCAGAGCATGCCACCCTCAGCCCTCATGGCAGACTGTCCTGGGCAAAATAATTCTGTAACTGATTCTGCGTTTCAATATTTGATTTTTTTTTTCTTCAAGCGATATTTACTGTCTTATCAGAAACGGTTTTTACTATCCTAGGAAGAAAATTTGTTTTCAAAGTCTGCACGTTAGTCTCACATTCATACATGCAGTGCATATGGTGGACATGTTCATGTCCAATCATGCTCTTGCATGCACTAAATCCTTACATATACTTTCATACACGTATTGTCATCTATACAGATATATATAAACACATCAGTGTGACGGCGTTTAATTTTTGGGGAGCAGTTATTGTAAGAAGCCCCTTCTCATCCTGATGACTAAAACAATTGTGATACAGTGGGTTAGTAGTGAGGTGTTAAGTATAGATGGCAGATGAGATTCAGCATGAGGAAGAGCCTCACTGATAACTTAATGTCATTTGTTTGTCCATCTCTACCGGCCACACAGATGTCAAGCCCTCTAACATCCTGGTCAACTCTCGTGGGGAGATCAAGCTGTGTGACTTCGGTGTCAGTGGCCAGCTCATAGATTCCATGGCCAACTCCTTTGTTGGAACGCGCTCCTACATGTCAGTGAGTCAGCTCCATCACTCCACCCCCACCCCTTTTTCCTCTGGCCCTAACCTTACTTTCCTTCTCGTCTTTTCTCACATTGCTCTTGTTCCCTGGCCCCACCTTTAGTCTTCCTTTCCTCTGGCCCTCCCTCTCTCCCCTGCCAAGAACCAAGGGCTGTGCCCAGGAAAGGGATCTTTGGCAAAGAATTCGGCAACTGTGCTTGCTGTTTCTCGTCCTCCCCTCACTCTTAGACACCTGGTGGCTGTAGTGCCAATAGCTGATTTTTCTGTCCCATCCAGTTCCTGTACCCACAAAGCACCCTTTCATCATATTTCCCAACTCATGAACACCTGTCTTTGCTCACCGTCCTAAAACTTAAACACTCTAAAGCAGCTCTTTTACATCCTGCCAAACCCCATCATCCTCTGTACTTTTTCCTTTAACCGCACCCCACTTCTCCTTCCCATAACACCCCCTTTCTCACTCTCCCCTTCCATTATCTTCTCCTCCACTTCCTGTCTTCTTTGCCCAACCCTCTCTCCCGCCTACCATCTTGGCTCTACCTGCGCTTCCTGACGTTGTTTGTGTTTCTCAACAGCCGGAGAGACTGCAGGGCACTCACTACTCTGTTCAGTCTGACGTGTGGAGCATGGGTCTGTCTCTGGTGGAGCTGGCGATTGGCCGCTACCCCATCCCCCCTCCAGACGCCAAAGAGCTAGAGGCCATCTTTGGACGGGCCGTTATGGACGGGGGTGAGGGAGAGTCGCACACCAGCATGCAGAGGCCCAGACCGCCAGGCAGGCCTGTAAGCGGTACGAAACGCAAAAGCATACACAAACACACAGATGATTGTGTATGACATTAACAAAAGATCCATGCTATGACAGGAACTGTCCTCGTAAGCAAGGTAAGAACATAAGGAATTACAGTGGGAAACCGTGGATGAGTAAGGGATTACAGAATGCATGTAAAAAGAAGAATGTGTTATATAAGGAATTCATAAAGGACAGATCAAAGAAGGCGGAAGAAAAATATAAGT